TCGGCGGACGCCCCGCCCCCTCAAGTAAAAACTCCCCCAAAAAAAAAAAAAAAAAGGGACTGCCAGTCAATACAGAGACATTAAACTCCCCACTTCATCATTCAATATCTTTTCATTGTTTTTTTCGATCATCATTATTATTATTCCAATTACTTTTTTTTAAACAGTCAATCACTATTTCTCATTTTTCTTGTAAAAAGACTTTACCCATCATGAAATACTTCTCAGGCCAAACCAGTTGATAATACTATACACATCATCATCAACAGGTAATAAGTCATATCTGTGTTAAATAGACTATCTTGATAAGAAATTAATTTTGTATAACAATGGGACCAGTACGTGGCATAGTGGTTAAGGATCCAGACTCTCATCTGGCGTACTGTGGTTCAAGTCCTAGACCCAGAGACTTGAAAAAGCATGCTGTGTGTTTGTGTGTGTGCCCCAAATCCCAAGAGGAGACTAGGGAAGAAGGGATTGCAGCATGGCCATCCCTCCTGGGAGATGGTTTCTCACTTTCCCTCTTTTCATCTCTCTCTCTCTGAAGAGTGCATATGTCTTATGGCACACAAAACAAACCTAAAAGTAGATCTTGTACTTTTATTTTTCAATGGAGCAAAAAGATAAATATATTTTAAGTGCAAAGAAATGCACAGATGCTTGTCTTTCTAATTTTTTTAAAACAACTAAAAGTATTTTGACATATTAACTATAATTTTTCATTTTGGCCATTTCGAAGAAGTGAGTAGGTACATTTGAATATTTATGACTTTAAGTTATAAAGACCTTATTCATTCTGAGTAATTCATGTCTAAATTTAGCACACTCACTATATTGATTTTTCAAGTCTTTATCACTCAGGAATTACGTCGGTTCATTATTTTGCCTCCGCAATTGTACATCAATAGAGCAATTAATTCACATCTCTTCCCAAGAGCTTCGCTTTCCTACACATCTGTCTTCTCATTCCTGAATCTCTACATTGTTTAGTTCGAAATTGTAAATTTGATCATTTAGTGGTGCAGAATAATATGGTGGAGAGAGATTTCTATCAGATATAGAACATTTTCTCATTGATCAAAAGAATTAATGAGAAAAATGTTGCATATTAGAGAATTATTACACATTGAGAAGTGCTTAAATCTTTACACTGAAGGTAAATTAAATTTTCACTAAGCTTAAAAAAGAAGATTCACAGACATTTATACTCAAATACAGTACTTTCCACTTTAATGCTAATGCCTGATGTACAAAATAGATAACAAAAATATAAAACACTTAATGTTTACAACCCAACAGTGTGATTTGTACCAGATATGTTTTGTTTCTGGAAATGAGACTACCTACTCATGAAGAAATGTACATGGGGCCTGCTCTGTAACCTAGTGGTGAAGGGAACCAGATGCTAATGGCCCGTGGCAGTTTGAATCCAGGCCTTGGTGGCTAGAAGAACACCAGGCATGTGCATGTGGTGCACTCAATCCCGATGGCACGGAGAAATGGAGAAAGAATTGCAATGTGACCACATCCCACTGGGGAGGCTTTCTCTCTCACCCTTTCTCTTTCTGTGCCTTTTTCTTTTCTTTTCTCTTTTCTTTTCTTTTTATTAAGAACTATTTAATTTAATTTATTTATTTCAATTTGATGAGAGAGAGAGAGAGAGAGAGAGAGAAAGAGAGAGAAAGTGAGAAAGCAACGAACCATGCTCGGCCATGTAGGAATCTAGTGCTCTTAGCCACCATGCCACCTGCTGGCCCCCTCTTTCTGTGTCATTCTAATAAGCACATTCCCTTTTTGGCAATTGAAGGAAAAAGAAAAATAAATGCACATATAAGTTAGAGACAACTTTTTTCCTTTTAAATAAAGAAAAATCCTATTTATATACATTTGTATTTAAAATGTTGACGTCTTCTAGAAAAATGAGTTGTCTCAGTCTTCAGATTTCACAATGATGTCTCATCTCAGAGCAAGGATTTCTGAGAGTCCCATTTTGGTATGTTGGCTTCCCCCACCCTTACTTTTGAGTGGTAGCACTCCCAGGAGTTGGAAATGGCATTTTACCTATTTTTCCTATTTAAAAATTAAGACATTTAACTTGAGCTGCTCCCCTGTATTTAAAAAAGTATTAAACTCTCTTAGGCAAAGAAAACTAGTTTTGGAAACAGATATTTATTAGCTATATCTCTCTTATGCACAAGATGTTAACACAAAAACACTCACATCTAACTATTAATTGAAATGACTTAAAACGTGGCTAGTGGGCCAGTGCGTGGTGGTGGTTAAGGAGACTGGATCCCACGTGGCCAATCGCATGGAGAGTCCTGGGTGCAGCAGTTTGTGCCCAAAATCCGGAGAGGAGAATGGAGAAGAAGGGTTCGTGGCATGGCCATCCCTCCTAGAGTGGTCCTTCTTCATCCTCCCAACCCCTCTTTTCAGCCAGTGCATGTGATCACTAGTAAAATTATTGGGGGAAAAAAGTGAATCGTTTTTTTTTTTTGTAACTTTTAGTGCTGAGTGTGCGAGTTTGGTTGGTTGGTTGGTTGTATTTGCCAAAGGGTGCATGTATTCTCTGGAGAGAGACAGGGAAGGAAAGTAAGAAAGCACCCCGTAAGGGGAAATGGCCATGCTGCAGTCCTCTCTACTCCAGCTCCCCCTCCTCTGGGGGTTTTGGATGCACACAGGTACATGCCCAGCATGTTTCTCAAGACAATTTGTTGGGGTTCGAATCCTGCAGTCAGCCACGTGGGATCTCATCACCATAACCACCAGGCCACAGGCTGGCTGGTGTGAGCCTTTAAAACTGCAGAAGTTGTCTTTCATCCTGAGCTTTGTGTCAAATATATACCTACTCTGGGGATGATGAACGATTGCGTTTTACACACCCTGAGAACAGGACAGGAAGAAAATGGTCAAGCTGCAATAAGATCAATTTACTTATGGAATGAGAGAAGCATTTTCACCCCCAAATTAGGAGATGGTTTCTGTGCATGGTATTTAATCAACTTCTCTAAAGGCTTATGTAATCGGGTTCTGTCAGTTTAGTCATGACCTGGGTGAAAGGTGGGGGTGGCACCAACAACCTTTGACAAAGACGGTTCTAGTTCCACTCCCACAGGCAGCCTGTGGGGAGTGAGCTTCCTTGAACTCAGCTCACTGGAGGTTCTTGGAGGAGAGTGAGGGTCTCCGCGCTTGGTGCATACAAAATCCAGTGACAGAATCCATGCCCACAAGCACCTACCCTCCGCGCTGCTGTTGCCTTCCTCTTCGAAGCTTGTTTTTCAGTGGACTCCTTAAAATACCTTGTAAGCTCTGAATATACTCTCTATTTTAAACCTTGAGAGAGAGAGAGAGAGAGAGAGAGAGAGAGAGAGGATGTGAAAAACCACCTCCACTCTAGGAGAAGGTGGCCTTTGTTCATTCTCCTCTCAGGACTTTGGGCACGCATGCTGCTGGGTCTGGGAGTTGAAATGCACAGCTGGCCACGTGGGAGTCAGCTGCCTTAACCTCCATGCCATTGCCTGGCCCAGATATTTTTTTAAATCCATGATAGAGTGTATGTGCGTGTACAAGAGAGAAAGGCACCCTCCACAGGGCTCAGTCATGCCTCCATCCTCTCCCTCCAGTCCTCCAGCCCGCAAGGATCCTGGGCATTATTTACGTGCTCAGTGAGTTTTCAGGCTGACCAGTCCGGGGACTTGACCTGCGTTTAGTATGTGGCTTCCAATCTGCAGTTTGGGATGCCATTACTGCCACACAGAGGCTGGACTGACCCTTTTTCACTGTTATATACATGTATACAGAGAGAGAGAGAGAGAGAGAGAGAGAGAGAGAATATGTATGTGTTTATGTATTTTTTGAGAGGGAGATATTTTGCTGTAGGGCATGTGCACTGTCCAGAGAGACAGAGACAGAGAGACAGAAGTGAGAAATCACTCTGGGGGAATGGTCATGCTATATTCCCTTCTCCTCCTTTCTTTTGAGATTTTGGGCACACACGTACATGTGCTTGGCTTGAGTTTTAAGCCACCGGGTCCAGGACTTGAACTGCAGTCGGGTATGTGGGAGTCAGTGACAGAATCATTAAGCCATCTGCTGGTCCCAAGTGTATAAGTATTTTTTATATTTATACTTATATTTTTTATTTTTTCCATAAGGCACATGTGGCTGCTGGAGAGAGACAGAGAAAAACGGAGAGG